GCCCTGTAGATCTATCTTCCTTCCCCCTTTGATGGCTTAGCAGAGAGCTGGCTCAACAGGTGAGTAAGAGTAACAAAATCTACTAATACCAGCCACTGGAGTCCAGGGGTTCCTCCTTTCCAAAAGGGCCAAGTCTCCAGCCAGAGAATCTTGCCATTCCCTGCCATGACTGCTAATATGCAGAAATATTTACACATGCGCAGCCTGGCCCCTCTCTATAGAAACACTGGCCAAAATGCCAGATGATCTATGCCCAGCTTGCTCAGTAAAATGATGGGAGTTCAGAGTATGGTGTGTACACTCTACGACTTCATTCTCCAGTAACACCTTACATTGTGTCTGCACTATAAGGTCCAGGGAATCCCAAAGCTATGGCCTTCTACCAGGTATTATAATTCATCTACAGCCTTCCCAAGCCATGTACGTTTTCCAAATGGGGTCTTTTTTAAAAGTAGAGAACACAGCTTGAATATACCACTGACATTCCACCTTTAATCAAGCTTTCTAGAAAATCAGTACAGCAGAAGGTTAACCTGCAGTAATTTCCCCATGAGGAAGGAGACAGGGTTTTGTTGCCATTTACTCACAGTTCTCTCACATATTCTTGGATTAAGAACAAGAGGAGTATTTTTGACCACCAGGAAACTGTATTATCTAATGGGACACTGGTTGTTTTCTCCAGTTCCTAACCAAATGACCTGTTTTTTCAGGTAAAAATTTATTGCTGATCTTTACAAAAATTAGGTATCTTGGAAATCATAAGCAAGTTTAAAACAATTAACAGAGGACTGCGTTAGCACTAAATTTGGTGTAATTTTTTTATCCCCTTTAGAAACAACTTTTTTAATACCCTTTAGAAACAACATCTAGAGTTACATTCAGTCACAATGGAACAAGGCTTTGATTATATCCTCTGGCTTGAATTTTTAAGTACTGGCTTAAGTTTTTAAGTTTTGAGTACTGAGAACAGTCTAGCTTTAACTACTTCTGTGTGTGCCCCTGAGATCCCAAGAGCTGTCTCCAGATGGCAGCAGAGGACACTGGGTAGATCACAGTTTGGGATTAAATCAACGCAATGGCCAGCGGCGGTCTTTGTCGGGACTCCCCAAACAGTGCTTGTGAGTGGCCGCAAAGGTCTCCGCTTGCGGCTGGTTCGGACGTTCACTTGCTGGGACGGCCCCTGCGGACGCTGTGGGCATACCACGGCCGCGTGCACACTCCCTCCTCCCTCACGGGAGCTCATGCGGCGCTTCCTCAGGCAGACCTAAACCCGCTCATTCTCAATCAACCTGATGGCTCCACCCCCTCTGATCACCGTAATCCCACTCACGAACAACTCTGTGGGTTCCACTACCCCTTCTGTCCACCAGCCAGTGACCGATTTGGCCTCTATCTACCGCGGCCGGGGTTCCTGTATAACCAGTGCCTCCACAATGGCATTTGGCTGAATCCATCAGCAGCACCAGAGCGGAAGGATTTTGCCAGCCTGGCTGCCACTGGCTTCCTGGCTGTGATGTGCTAGTTTAGTTGAACGGCTGCTGGGGTGGGTGGTGGGGTCCTGATTTGTACTGTTCCATGATTTCCATGGTAAAGCTCTCAGCCATGGCCAATTTCAAGCTGCGAGGAACTGGGACGAGACGCGTGCCCACAGTCAGCTTCCTTTAACTGGTATGAGTCAGCTCTAACTGGCTTAGGTTTGGGTCAGCTCCACTATATGGCTGGTGAGGGGAATGGGCACTTTTCCTCTTAATACTGATTTACTCGCTTCAGTCTTCATCTGTCCTCCCAACGTGAATAGTTAGTCTCATTTACTTGCAATTCAGGTCCGGACAGGGGCGAGGCAAATGAAGTGCCTATGAGTGGAAAATTTAAAAAGGCACTCACTCTTAGAATCATGCAAATTTGCAGATGGTACAAGTGTATGACCTAACAGTAAGGACCTTCCTGAAGTTTTGTGCCCCAGGCATCTCAGTGGCCACAACACTTCTGCCATTAAATCTCAAGTAGACCAGCCCCGCACCCATGCATGGTATCTCATCAGCACTTTCCTACCTGTTCTCTTTTAATCCCACAGTGCCTTGGTCACAAGCAGTCATGGTCTAAAAGTCTATCCCACTTCTGAGGCACTACTGCGATACCCACCCTGCTTGATCAGGAGCCCTGGTTGTGGGTTCCGCTAGACAGCCACGCTCATGAGACCCCAAAGGCTCTCCTCTCACTTGTTTACTCGGTGTTGCAGAAGAATGAGAGGCAAGAAACACAGCACAGGATTCAGCAGCAGGGCGGAATCAGATATGTCCCTTCAGTGCAAGTCCTCACAGCAATCCAGGCCTGTTCTCCCAAAATGATGGCTCGGGTACAAGGAGACAAGCTTCCACAGGGGATGCAGGAACCACCCTAGCTCAGTAGCCTCGTGCCACATGAGGACAGTATCTCTCATGCGAGTCCGTGAGTGTAGTTCAGGACTCAGCGAGAAAAACATGAGCGTTATGTCACACCACCTTCAGGAATGCCCAAAGCTCTGGCTTCCCCCAGGTATTTATAGTTCATTCACAACCCTCCCAGCTCAGATGCATTTTACCAGTGAAGGGCTGAGTCTGCCATTACGCGGTGTTCTGTGGTTACGCAGCTGTCACTTCACCTTCAGCAGATTACAGAGAAAATGCATTAGAAGATCAACGGGGGGCACCTGGCTGAGGTCATGATCTTGGGGTCCTGGGATCGAGCCCCACATCAGGCTCTCTGCTCGGCAGGGAACCTGCTTCCCCCTCTCTCTCTGCCTGCCTCTCTGCCTACTTGTGGTCTCTCTCTCTGTCAAACAAACAAACAAAATCTTAAAAAAAAAAAAAAAAAAAGAAGATCAATGGGAGGCCATTTTTACAGGAGGAAGGAGAAAGGGTTTTATTAACCTTTCGCTCCTAGACACTATGCCAGAACAACATAAAATCTCAGAATGTTGGGGGCAAGGAAAAATTCTAATACCATCCAAAGAAAAAAACAAGGTCTCCTTCAAAGTTTCAGTAATTAGAATGGCTTCACACTTTTCAACAGCAGCACCAGAAACCAGAAGACAATGAAGGAGTATCTCCAAAATTCCAAGGAAAATGAATTCCAAAACAGAAATACAAATCTATGCAAACTATTGTTCAAGCTTACAGGTAGATTTTTCAGACATGCAAAGTCTTAAAAATTTCCCTCAATGTCCCTTTTTCTCAGAAAACTTCTGGAGAACACAAACCCTTGCCAAACAAAGAAAGAGCAAGATTCAAGAAAGAGCAGAAAATCCAAGACACAGGGGATTCCTCACAGGGGAAAAACAAAAGAAAGTCTCTACAGCTATGAGGAGATTTTAGGATATTCAGCAGACCTGAAGAGTACATCATAGATTAGTCTGATGGTGGGAATCCAGAAGGAATATATTTAAAAAGAGAGAGATAGAATCTGATATATTTGAATGTACCAAGTAGAGATTTATATTTTGAAGGAGTTGGAGTGAATTACTGAAGGGATATAAAAAAATAAGGAAACAGAAAAAATCATATAATAATCTAGGATAAAAAAGGTATTTAAAAAGGTACCAGTCTGGGGATGCCTGGGTGGCTCACTCAGTTAAGCACCTGCCTTTGGCTCAGATCATGATCTCAGGGTCCTGGGATGGAGGCCCGCATGGGGCTCCCTGATCAGTGGGGAGTCTGCTTCTCCCTCTCCCTCTGCCATTTCCCCCTGCTTTGTGCTCTCTCTCTCAAATAAAAAAAATAAAATCTTAAATAAACAAATAAATGAGTAAGTAAATAAAAAGGCACCAGTCTTTCTGACTGGGAGGCTAGGAAAGGAGAAATGCCCGAACAGTGAGGAGGAGTGCAGGGTAGGCTATCAGATATATTTGGTTTACTGACATGACAGCAACTCCTAACTCCCTTCTCCTTGCCTCCCTATACTAGAGAGGCTAGAAAAGCTAATTTCCTCTCTTCCGAGCTTTTCTTCAAGTTATGGATTATCAGGTAGGTGTTCTGGTCGATGATATATAATCAGAAATCTACTAGCAATTTCTGGGAAAGCTTTTACTTTCCTGATTAAATAGGCAGATCTAGCTGCCATCCCACTTCCCTTTCTCTCTGTCTCGAACCCGGCTTGATGCCTACAGCTACAACAGTCACACTGCAAACATGAATCAATAAAACCAACAGGTTAAGACTAGTGCAACAGAAATACAAAAGAGTCTGAGTTACTGATGATGTATTTGATGAAGTTTAAAAATTTTTACATCAAGAAATAACATGCTGAAGCATATCATTAAAAACTTTAGCTTAGGGGCAGCTCAGTGGCTCAGTTGGTTTGGTGTCTGCCTTCGGCTCAGGTCATAATCCCAGGGTCCTGGGATCGAGCCTACATCAGGTTCCCTGGTTGGTGGGAAGTCTGCTTCTCACTCTCCTCTACCTCTCACCTTGCTTGTGCTCTCACTCTCATATAATAAAATCTTTTTTTTTAAATTTTAGCTGAAAAATTAAAAATGAATGCCACTGAGGAGTAAAAATTGGAGATCGGGAACAATGGGGCAGGAGCTGCTATTTTTCATTGTAAGCCTTACAAGCAGGGTTATGGGCCAAGTACTTCTTTGTCATGGGGTGCTGTTCTGAGCATTACTGTTTGGCAGGGGCCTTGGCCTCTACCCATTAGATGCTACTAGTAGCAACTTGGGATGACTGTGACATTTAAAAATTCCAGTTATTACCAAATGACCCCAGGGCAAAACTGCCCCAGTTGAGAACCATTGCCTTATAGTGTTTTATTTCTGTAACCTTCCAGAGTGCTACAATGTATTCTTTTGATAAAATTAAATTACGGGGGGGGGGGGGGACTAATGATATGAAAGGAACCAGGGACCATCAATGTCATTTTTCCCCTCAAACAACTGTCCGTTTCTTTCCTGACCCCTCCCTGGGTCTCAGAATCCCGCTCCTTCCCTAGCAGACGAGCACAGACAGAACCGAGACGCTTACCGCCTAGAAAAGCACACTCGTAATGGCTGCAGGTCTTGTTGGTGCTTTGAAGGATAAGGTTATTGCTGGTCCCATCCTGTGACACATGAAAAATCTCATTCAGGGGTATTAAAACAATTCTCTCACTTTCTTTATCAAAAAAGTGTCCCATGGCAACTGCAAAGCACGTGCGGATGGTTAACAGGACGTGCTGGTCGGCGGCGGCTTGCGGTCTGGCGGAGTAGGCCAGCGTGAAGCGGCCGAGCCTGGCGCGGCCGGGCCCTCCGGGCGGGAAGGACACATCGGGGCTTACACTATAGACCGCAGCTCTGTAACTGTCCTCACAAGGTCTTCTCAGCAACTGCAGCGCTCTTGTCAGATAAAAATGAAAAGCTTTGAACTGGAAGTCATAGACGTAGTCTTTCCGAGACAGGCCGGCCGTCTTCACAGCTTCGCTGAACACGCGGTGAAAGGGCGTCTGCGCTCGAGCTTCAGCAGCGAACGCCGTCAGTGCTATTCCGTGGTCATCTGTAAAACTCCTCGGGAGGAAGGGGCGCGTCTTCTGGGCTTGCCATCTGGCTTCTGCGTTTTCCCACACATCCTTCAAGAGCTGATGGCTTGCTTTCTCCTCCTTGAGCAACTGGGGAACATACTTGACCTCCATTCTGTCAGTGCATCTCAGGTACTCGTCGTCGAACGCGCTATCCGCCATGTCTAACGTCTCAGCCGTCGCCTCCAAAAGAAAAGGAAAAGGAAATGAATGCTCTTGAAATGAGATATTTGGTGTATATCATTTTCTCTCCCTTACTGTTCCCATACTCTCATGCCCCGCCTAGCATCGCTCCCTTACTTAGAACAACTCCGGACATGATTTTTTTTTTTTTTTTGGCATGATTTTTATACAGGAAGTCTATTCCACTGTTACTGATAACTTTTCTTAGCTGTGATCTCTTTGTATGAAAAAGTAAATGTTAGCAATGAGAAGTGTGGGAATGATTATGTCTGTAATTCATTCATCTGAACTTTATGGTACAGAGGAAAGAGTAAGTATGAAATTGAAGAAATGGGTGGCAGCCCTGGCTTTGAATATTCTTTTTTTTTTTATTTTTTATAAACATATATTTTTTTCCCCAGGGGTACAGGTCTGTGAATTGCCAGGTTTACACACTTCACAGCACTCACCACAGCATATACCCTCCCCAATGTCCATAACCCCACCCCCCCTTTTGAACAATATTCTTAGCTAGATTTTCTCAACCCCTTAACACTGCCGAATGATTTTGAAATACCATCTGTGAAATACTCTACATGATAAATACATAATAATAAATATTATTCATTTTCCTTGAGGACTCCCCCGCATGGGTGGGGTAGAACTGATCTGCACCTTGCTGCAATGATAAGCAACGATGCAGGGGTCTTTCTTTCTTCCGAGAGAGCAAGCACGCATGCAGGAGAGTGAGTGAGCATGTAAACAGGCAGAGTGGGGAGGGGCACAGGGAGAGGGAAGAATTTTAAGCAGGTTCCACCCTCAGCGGGGCAAAGCCCCATCCATGCAGGGCTCAATCTCACAGCCCTAAGATCATGACCTGAGAAAAAATCAAGAATCAGATGCTTACTACTGGATATTTACCCCAAAGATACAAATGTAGTAATCCGAAGGGGCACCTGTACCCCAATGTATATAGCAGCAATGTCCCCAACAGCCAACTATGGAAAGAGCCCAGATGTCCATCAACAGATGAATGGATAAAGAAGATGCAGTGTATACACACACACACACAATGGAATTTTATACAGCCATCAAAAAATTAAAATCTTGCCTTGTAATTTACAATGATGTGGATGGAACTAGAGGGTATTATGTTAAGTAAGTCAATCAGAGAAAGACATTTGTCATATAATCTCACGGATATGCGGAATTTAAGAAACAAGGCAGAGGATTGTAGGGGAAGAGAGGAAAAAATGAAACAAGATGAAACCGGAGAGGGAAACAAACCATAAGAGACTCTTAATCTCAGGGAACAAACTGAGGGCTACTGGAGGGGAGGGAGGGCGCGAGGGATGGGGTGGCTGGGTGATGGACACTGGGAGGGTATGTGCTATGGGGAGCAGTGTGCATTGTTTAAGACTGATGAACCACAGACATGGACCCCTGAAACAAATAATATATTATACGTTAATAAAAACCAAAAGGAATCAGATGCTTAACTGACTGAACCACCCAGGTGTTCCAGTGATGCAGGTCTAAAAACCAGAGCACTCCTGGGAAGAGGAAAAAAGCTTTCTTCCCCTACAACCATAAGCTCTAAGGGTGATATTGGCTTGGGGCAGCCAATAGTTATCCTTTATAGTTCCATGAAGAATCCTGTCTGTAAATAAAACCAACAAAGGAAGGCTTGCAGTGCTGAAAAGAAGAGAGATGAGGCCTTGATGACATTAGTCAAGGCCCTGAGTTTAGCTGCACCTGAAGACTGTATTCTACCTTGGTCATAAGTATCAAGATTCCTTATTTACTTGAGCTAGTCTGAATTGTGTTTCTGTCACACACAACTGAAAAAAAAGCCTAATGTACCTTTAAATGATACCTGTAACATAGTAAGTGGGATTGTATAATATAATTAGCACTAGCTTGGAGCCAGACAAATCTTAGGTTTAGATTCCGTAACTAGATACTATTTGATATGGGAAAGTTACTTTTTACATTTCTGAGCTTCAATTTTCTCATCTAAAAACGAGGATAAAGGCAATAATATCTTAACTGGAGGACTGTTGTAAAGAATAATGATAAAATGAATATATGCAAAGCCCTTACCTACACTGCCTACCACCTATTAAGCCTTCAACACGCTGGGGTTATTTTCATTATTTCATGATAGGAATATACATATTATACTGGAAGCTCCTCAGGGCAGGATCTGTGTCACATTTGCCTTTTGAATTCCAAGCTTCCAGCATAGTAACTAGCAAAATATTTAAGTGAACTAAATTAATAAAGGATAGTTGGAAGAAAGGCAGGCAGAGATGACCCCTCCCACCCCAGCCACCAAGAGGAGACCATCCTTAAAAGAATTTTACACCACCCGGGAAAGAGCCCTCCACCCTTTCCCACACAAGAGACAGATGACAAAATCTGTTTGGGTGACAGGGGCAGGGAGGGTTAATCAGATTAAAACAGCTTGCCAACAAGCCCATACAAACCTCTAGACATAGAAACTCCCAGGCCAACCCTCTTGGGTCCTCTGCCTCTTCAGGAGTTTGTACTATCACTTTTCTATCACCCAATAAACTTTGCTTTGCCACCCACCACTCTTCATGGGGTCTACCTCTTCATTCTTCGAAGTGGTGTGACCAAAAACTGAGGGCACTAAAGAAAAAGAAATCCTGCAAAATAAGAACCTGTACTCTGGCCTATAGATCAAAACACAGGACAAGAAAATCTGCCCAGGGATGCCACTTAAGGGTTTCTACAAATAAAAGGACAATGCCCTCATCATCTTCCCTTCCCACTATTCTATACATGTAATAGTACATTGGTGACATAAGCTGCAACCTAAGCAGGAGACCGCAGCTAAAAACTTTATAAAGACCCTTAGTCAGGAGCTCTTGAAGTTGCAGCTTCCACATGAACGACTTTTATTTATTTTTTTAACTCACAAATGATTTTTGAAAAGTGTGTGTATGAGTGTGTGAAAGTGTGTATGCCAAGGGTGAGGGGAGGGAGAAGGGAGAAAGAGAGAGAGAATCAACTCAAGAAAGCAAAATAAACATCCCAGGCTAACTATCTGCTTCCTACCATCTCTTTTCTCCCCCTCATAGACCAACTTCTCAAAAGAAACATCTACCCTCTCTATCTCCACTCATTTCCACTCATTCCCACTCATATCTCAGTCCTCTTCAGTCGGCTTCCCACCCCATTCCTCCACCCAATCAGCTCTTGCTGAGGCAACACCTCTTCTTTTGAAGACCCAACATACTCTATCGGCCATTAAATGTTGGGAATTGCTCAAGGCTACTTATTTTTTAACTCTCAACTCTAACCTTAGGCAATTACATACACGCGCATGGTGTCAGTTATCATCTAAATACCTCTGACCTGTCCCTGTAAGTACAGACGCATATTACCACCTGCCTACTTGGTAACTCCACTTGAACTGCGCAAAGACCCATCAACTGTCAATAGTCAAGAGCAAACTCATCTTACCCCCTACAACCACCACCACCAGCCTGGTGCTTACACAGACCCATCTTTCATTTTTGCGTTTTCCTATGTATCTTCTTCTCAGTCACCCTCTGTGGCCACTCCATCACTAAGACCTAGCAAACTTCTCCCAGGTGTCATCTGTATTGCAAGCACTAAGTGTTCCTATATATTAATGAGCTCATTTAATCTTCATGGCAACCCCGTGCGGCAGATACTATTAGTCCCTTTTTAAGGATGAGCAAACTAAGACAGATAAAGTAACTTGTCTGAAATTGAGATATGAAGCCACACAATCTGGCCCCATAGTCTGTCCTCTTAAACAAATGTCCTATTTCCAATGACAAAGACCACTGATATTTACGCAGCACTTTCAGAAGGCTTTAATTTTCTCCTAACACCTGTTACAAAGGTTGGGCAGACAATTCATAACATCATTTTACAAATGAAGAAACTGGGCCAGCATCAGAAACTGTCTTTATTACCAGCCACAGAATATTCTGCTGGGGAAGTCACTGAGTTTCCTGAAGTGGGAATCTGAGCTCTAGGAGATTAAGTCACTACCATCTCCTAGCCAAGAAATGCATTTTTGTCTGCAGCACAGAACGTACCACGGTGTATCTTGGGCACTGATACTGATTCATCTTCAAGGCTTCAATATAAGACATCACAACCCTGAAACCACCTCCCACATTCCTCACATCATATCTGAGTCACATCATATCAGAGTCATATCCTATCCTATCCTGTCCAGTATGTTCCTATCTTTTCCTATGCCTCTAACCAGTCTCCACAGGTCTAATTTTAGACATTAAGTCTTTCTGGCCCAAAGCCACAGTTGATTCTGTGTTCTGTACAGTGAGTGCCTTGAGCACTGAAAAAGTTCACAAATGCCACCACCATTCAGGGTCAACTGAATGGACATTAAGGGACATGTCCAAAAGGCTAGGTGAACACACTGATTATATTTTCTTCCCCTGTTTTATCCACTGAAACAAAAGCCCATATTAATGAAATTCAATTAGCAAAAAGCTAATACAAAAATATTACCAAAAAATGTGGAAATGACCTAAATGCTAATGAAAAGAAACTGGTAAAGCAAATTATGGAACATTCACAGAACATACACGAAAACTGTATTACAAAAGAATGTTAAAAATTCATAGCAAAACCACAGTGACTACCACTGCACACCTGTTAGAATGGCTATAATCAGAAGGGGGGAAAAAGGGGAAAATCAGTGTTGGCAGAGATGTAGAGTACCTGAACCCTCATACACTGCTGGGGAACATAAAATGGTGCAGCCACTACGGAAAACATAAAGTTACTGTATGACCCAGCAATTCCATTCATAGGTGTACACCCAGGAGAACTGAAAACATGTTCACATAAAAATCTGTACTTGAAGGTTCAAAGCAGGATTATTCACCCCTAAGAGCTTTTAAAAAGCGAGAACTGAAATGTTCATCAATTAATAAAGAGATAGGGGTGCCTGGCTGGCTCAGTCGGTGAAGCGCCCACCTTCAGCTCAGGTCCTCATCTCGGGCTGAGTATTATTCAGCTTTAAAAAGTAATGAAGTGGGGCGCCTGGGTGGCTCAGTGGGTTAAGCCGCTGCCTTCGGCTCAGGTCATAATCTCAGGGTCCTGGGATCGAGTCCCGCATTGGGCTCTCTGCTCAGCAGGGAGCCTGCTTCCCTCTCTCTCTCTCTGCCTGCCTCTCTACTTGTGATCTCTGTCTGTCAAATAAATAAATAAAATCTTTAAAAAAAAAAAAGTAATGAAGTACTAGGATATGCTACAACACGAATGAACCTTGAAAACAAAACACTGTAAGTGAAAGAAGCCACACAAAGGGCCAGATCCTGTATGACTGCATTCCGGTGAGACACCCAGAATAGGCAAATCACAGAAACAGAAAGCAGTAACGGTTGTCAATGCATGTAGGGAAGAGGGAATTGGGACTGACTGCTGATAGCTACAGGGCCTTCTTTTAGGGGTGATGGGAATGTTCTGTAAAGAGATAGAAAAGATGGGAATGTTCCGTAAAGAGACAGTGGTGGTGGTTGTACAACACAGTGAATTTATGTTTATAATGTAAAGATTTTATTTATTTATTTGACAGAGAGAAAGATCCTAAGATACTTCCTAAGTAGACAGGAAGGGAGGGGGGAAGCAGGCTCCCTGCTGAGCAGAGAGCCCGATGCTGGGCTTGATCCCAGGACCCTGAGATCATGACCTGAGCCGAAGGCAGGGCTCAATCCACTGAGCCATCCAGGCGCCCCTATAAATACTCATCTTAATGAATTCACATAAATTTATATTTATGAAAGCCACTGAATTATGTACTTTAAAATGGTGGGATTTTTATGGTATGTAAATTAGACCTCAATTTAAAAAATCATACTGTAGTACAGGCAACAGAATACACAATGATTCTACTGACAAGGGATCAGAATATTAAATTCAAAAACAAAATTTTAAGAACTTAACATATCTTAAAGAAGACACTCAACTTCCCCCTCTCTCTCTCTGCCTGCCTCTCTGCCTACTTGTGATCTCTGTCTGTCGGATAAATAAATAAAATCTTTAAAAAAAAAAAGACACTTCAAAACAGTGGAAAAAGATTCAGTAGTGATGTGACAGTTAACATTGCGGGGAAGAAATCAAATGAGATAGCTCGCTCATATCTTACATAAAAATATGTTACAGAACGTTTAAAGATTCAACTGCAACAAATAAAACCATAAAAGTTTTATCAGAAAAAAGGAACACCAGGTGTGAGCAAATGGTCATTATATAGTTCAATAAAACAAACATAACCAAACACTGCAGTGTCATCTTATTTGGACAATATACATATTTTAAGAATACTTAATGACATAGACATATAGTACAGTAGTAACTTAAAAAGCAAAATAATACTTTATACAGTGTGAATCCATCTTTCTAAATTACAAACACACACACACAGAAAAAAGCCAAGAAGACTATACACCAACAGATTAAGAGTCTTTCCTTCTAAGTGGAGGGATTATGGATGATTTTTACTTTCTTCTGTTTGCTTAATTTTAATTTTTCAACTTTCTACAGTTATTATGTATCTAATGTGTAAAATGAAAAGATAAAAGCTACTTGTAAAAAACCAATTTACCTATTCTATCTATTCCAGCCACTCTCATTTCCAATATCAACCCACACAAATGCCTCAAGCAACATTATATCAAGAGTTCCCATTCCAATGACTACATACTTCCCATTCCCAATATTACCTGGAAAATGTCCATTAGAATCAGAGCTGCCAGCAGCATGGTGACCATATCAAAACGTCTTGCCTTCATTTTTCTCTTCTAAATTAAAATGAAGAAATTCCAATTTAGCAGACTTAAAAAAGAGGTTTAGGGAAGGAAAGCAGGATGACACACTGTATGTATTTCATTCAGGGTGAGAGTAGGCACCATGTTGGTCAGGAAGTGATCATCAGTTAATTTCCAATGGCTGAAAGGGTCATTAGATTCTGTCTGGTGGCCTAACACCCTCATTCTACAGATAGGGAAATAAAAGCTCAGAGAACTTCAGAAATTTGCTCAAGATTAAATCTGTCCATTTCTATTCTTTTCCAGCCATGTTTTCTCTCTCACCATAGACAGTCACTGGAAGTCTTATTTTCTTCCAATCTCTGAATTTCCCCCTAGCATACACAGGAAATAACACAAACTAAAAAACAACCACTTCAGACTGGTGGTTTCCTAGCACCCAGTTTCCAAAAATTCCCCAGTAGTTATGGCCCATGCACAGCATCCATTCTTTTATTCTCTGCAAACTGAGTGACACCCATCTGGGTAGGATAGAGGGAATGATAAGACTAGTAATGGTACTCACTGGAGGGCTACCCAAGGGGGGCTCCTTGCCCCAAATACTCAGATTCAAGAGAAGCCCAAGGACAAAACAAGTGTCTTGCATAAATTTCTGACGGCAAGAATGAAAATAAGGAAAAATTAGGTAGGCAGCAATTCTAATAAGATTAAACAACCCTTTTGGCCAAATGCCCAATATTTGTCCCATTATTTAGGAAAACGAAAGGGGTAAATAGGAGCGTGAAAGGCCTTCAGGAGCTGAAGCTATCCCACAGCCATTATCCGATTCAATTCAGTGCTGGTTCCTTCCACATACCTACAACAAGGCTGACACTACTGGAACTGAACTGAGCTCTCTACTTCATCCTACTAAGCACCATGTCCTGGCATGTACAAGCGGAATGAACAGCATAGGGAGTCCTCTCCTTGGTCTCACGTTCCTGTCTTTAGGCACAGCTTCTTTCACTAGAGATACTAAAATATACTACCAAAATGCCATTTTTGTGTTGAACTTTACTTTCTAAAAAAGATTTGAAATATAATACTTTACAGGGGGCACCTGGGGGGCTCAGTCGGTTAAGTGTTTGCTTTCTGCTCAGGTCAGGATCCCAGGGTCCTGGGATCAAGCCCTACACCTCAGGCTCCCTGCTCAGCTGGGAACCTGCTTCTCCATCCCCCTTTGCCTCTCCCCCAGCTTGGGCCTTCTCACTCTCTCTCTTAACTAACTAAATAAAATCTTTAATATATATATATATATAAAACTTGACAGATAACTGTCACAAGGCAATATATGCCAAGCAAGCTCTGAATCAGGGTTTTCCGAAAATCCATGACCTCTCTAGTCTGAGTGTAAATAAGTCAAAATGTTTACCTGGCTTTTCTGCCTGCGGAGGAGGTTTAAATGATGCTAGGTCTCAGACTGTTCCCCACTCTCTCAGTTGTGGTAAGTGTGTCTTCAGGATGGGAGGTTGTTGACAGTGAGCTGAGAAGGGAATGCTTTTCTTTTTATAAACACCCCCAGCAGTAGCTTGGCAGTGGCACATTACCCCATTTGTGTTCTGCTATTTATATCTGGCCCCCACACTATCCTTTGGAATCACTGCTGTTAACACATGAAGTCTCCAGAGGCTTGTAAAGCCACAGCAATGCCCTCTAACCACAGCATGTCCGGTTCCGAGCCCCATTGTAGGCTTCTTGGAGAGCGATCACCTCCTACTCCGGACCCTTTGACTCTGAGATGTCAAACTAAAGCAAAGGAAAAATCCTAACTAGATGGCTCACGGAACTAAGGGAACTTGCCGCGTTCGTCGCTGGCAATGACGACGGCTATCGCCATTCACTCAACCCGCTTACTGTTTTCCAGGGAAGGGCGCCAGCTGCTGGGATACACAAGCAAATAAAACGAAGTAATAAAAAGCACTCACAATCTGAAAAAACACATTAATATTCATACTTAACCAAAATATATGTTAAAAAGCCAAGTGAGTTTTAGAAAAAGTCAGGGAGAACACTAAGGGAAGGATTTGGTAACCTGCGACTACGGTCCCCATCTAAGTACACAGAGTAAATATACAGACTGCTGAGGAACACGTGGGAGTTCTCGGACTGTGGATAAAAAACTGTGAAATGTCCTAGGAAATTTGTGCATATATATCAAAATACATTAATATAGTGTATTAGATAGTGTATGATGTGTAACAGCCCCAAACTGGAAAACATCCAGATGCCCAACAGCAGCAGAATGGATACATTGTTATATTCATACAATGGAATTTTGTGTGGCTTGAGAATAACCATAGGTAAGAAATGTGGATAAATCTTAACAAAATATTCTCCAGCAGAAGAAGAGACCCAAACATGTATACACTGTATGATTTAATTGGGATAGGGAATAAAATCAAACAAAACCCATCTATAACATCGGAATCAGAATACTGGTTGCTCTGAGTAGTAAGTAGACCTGGAAGAGGAACAAGGAGAGCATCTGGGATGCCAGTTAAGTTCTGGTGTGGCTCTGGGTGTTGATTACATTGATATACTCAGTTGTGAATATATTCACCAAGCTATATGCTTATGTATATTTTCCTCTGTATGTGTGCATATGTACATATATTATTATACAACTAAATATTTAAGTATTAAAGTGCACCCATTTTTATAAAACCCACCTCTCATCTTCAGCCTTCAAAGCCTCTAACTTCTTCTTACCCTATGGCTAGGTAGTTCAAAATACAATTTAATACACTAAACAGACTCTGAGCAACAGCACCATTAAAAAAAAAAAAAGTTTGGTCCAAAAGGAAAAAGAGGGTTTGCACAGGTCTTCAGGCATTACTGACCTTCTTTTAAGTTGCAAGCATATGAGCTTTCAGGAGTAGGATTTTCCTGTCTTTGGCACTAAACCCTACCAAATTTGTCTGTATATCACACAAAAGATGGAGTCCACGAAAAAGCATAACAAACACTGCATGAAGTTCAAGGCAAGTCTGGCCTTCCTTATGCCCGATATGCTTTTGCTCCATTCCTGTTTTATTTCACTTTTAAACTTTTAAAAAATCAAAGTATAATTAACATATAAAACATATTAGATTTAGATGCAGAACATGTTTTTATACTTGTGTATATTGCAAAATGATCAGCATAATAAGTCTAGTATTAATGTCTGTCACCATATAATTACAAATTTTTGTGCGTGCTGTAACTTTTAAGACTTACTCTATTGATTTTCAAATATGCAGTATAGTAGTATTACCCACAATTACCATGTTGTACATTATATCCCCATGACATTTATTTTACAACTGAAAATTCGTATCTTTTGACTTCCTTCACCATTTTCATCCACCTTCCCAATACCCAGTATGGCAACCACCAATCTGTTCTCTATATCCATGAGCTTAGTTTTTTTTTGGTTTTTGTTTTTGCTTTTTAGATTCCACGTATAAATGAGGTCATATGACGTTTCTGTCTTAGACTTATCTCATTTTAGCATGCTGTTCTCAAGGTCCATCTATGTTCTCACAAATGGATGGGAGATATTTTACTCTTTTTTATGGCTGATAATATTCCATTTTATTTATATATGTGTATATATGTGTGTGCATATACATATATCCATACACAAACACATTTTCTTTATCCATTCATCCACTGATGGACACTCAGGTTGTTTCTATATCTTGGTTATTGTAAATAATGCTGTAATGACATGGGGGTGATACATGCTTTTTCAAGTTAGTGTTTTTATTTTTATAAAAATAAATAAATAAATAAATAAATACATACATACCCAAACATGAAATTGCTGGATCATATTTTTTCCATAATGGCTACTCCAATATACACTACCACAAACAGTGCACAAAATTCCCCTTTTCCACATCCTTGTCAACACTTGGTATTTTTCCCTTCGCAGTCCTACCCCTTTGTTCTTTTTGATAACAGCCATTCTTCTACCAGATGTACTGTGATAGCCCACTGTGGTTTTTACTTGAATTTCCCTGATTAGTGACTTTGAAGATCTTTTCATATACGCATTGGCCTTCTGTAAGTCTTCTTTGGAAAAATGTCTATTAAGAGCATCTGTTTATTTTTTTAATTGGATTTTTTTTTTTGGCTATTGTCTGAGTTCTTCATATATTTTGGATACTAACCCCTTATCAGATATATGATTTGCAAATATCTTCTCCCATTCAGTAGGTTGCCTTTTCATTTTGTTACTGGTTTCCTCTGCTGTGTAGAAACTTTTTTGTTTGATGTAGTCCCAATTTTTTATTTTTGCTTTTATTGCCTTTGCTTTTGGTGTCAAATCCAAAAACTACTGCCAATTTACGATGTCAAGGAACTTACTCCCTATGTTTCCTCCCACAGATTTTATGGTTTCATGTCTTACCTTCAAGTCTTTAATCCATTTTGAGGGAATTTTTGTAAATGGTCCAGTTTTCCCAATACCATTTATTAGAGACTGTCCTTTGCCTATTGTATATTCTTCGTGTCTTTTCCTAAATTAATTTACCATATACATATGGGTTTATTTCTGGGATCTCTATTCTGTTCCACTGATCTGTGCATCTGGTTTTTTGCTTTTGCTTTTAACTATTTTTCATAAAGATTTATTTATTCATTTGAGAGAGACAGCAAGTGAGAGAACAAGCAGGGGGAAGGGTAGAGGAAGAGGGAGAAGCAGACTCTCTGCTGTGCAGGATGCCCAATGCAGGGCTCAATTCCAGGACCCCAGGATCATGACCTGAGCTAAATAAAGGTGGTCACTTAAACGACAGAGCCACTCAGGTGCCCCAGAAGATGTTGTTTTTTAAAGTAGGCTCCGTGCCCAGCATGGAGCCCAATGTGGGGTTAGAATTCATGACCCCGAGATCAAGTCCTGAGCTGAGATCAAGAGCTGGATGCTCAACTGACTGAGCCACCCAGGTGCCCCTGTGTGTCTATTTTATGCCAATACCATACTAATTTGATTACTTTGGGTTTGTAATATAGTCTGAAATCAGAGAGCCTGATGCTTTGTTGTTCTTTCTCAAGATTGCTTAGACTATTTGCATTCTTTTGTGGTTCTACACAAATTTTAAAATTGCTTGTTCTATTTCTGTGAAAAAAAAAAGCCATTGGAATTTTGATAAAGGTTGCATTAAATCTATAGATTGCTATGGGTAGTGTGAACATTTTAACAATCTTATCTTCTAATCCATAAGCATGGAATATCATTCCATTTATTTTTGTCTCCTTATATTTCTTTCATCAATGCCATACTTCTCAGTATGTTAGTCTTTCTCCTCCTTGGTTAATTCCTAGTATTTTGCTCATTTTAATGCAACTGAAAATGAAGGTTATTTTCTTAATTTTTCTTTTTTTAAAGGTTTATTTATTTCAGAGAGAAAGGGATCATACATGCAAGTGGAGGGAAGGGCAGAGGGAGAGGAGAGAGAGAGAGAATCACAAGCCGACTCCTCACTGAGTCCGGAACCCAGTGTGGGGGCTCGATCTCACAACCCTGAAATCATGACCAGAGCCAAAAATCAAAAGTTGGACGCTTAACCAACTGAGCCACCCAGGTGCCCCCTTAATTTCTCTTTCTGATAGTTTGTTATTGGAATA